TTTTATGCGGGCGAAGTCGCAGAAAAACAGCTAGAGGAATATAAAGGGACAGTTTTTTCGCTTTACGTCCCCTCTTGTAATCGCTATTCTTGACCTATGAATCTTTTTAGAAGCTTTCATTTATATTGAACTTGTAATACACCAATATGTAGGTAGGTATTAGTCAAATCTTAGGATTAAGCCAATTAATTAATATCTGTAGACTATCCACGATATAAATTTGTGAAAAGATTTGCTTCAGAAAATACGAAGATAATAAAATTACATAATTCTTAATCTAATATTGTAAACAATTAGCGATAACTTTTTTATTTCTTTAAAAAAGGAGAAAAGAAAAGGTCATATAAGAAATATTGAAAACTAGAGAATTTTTCAAAACTATCCTCGATTAAAAGTTTCATGTAGGTAGTAAAATAATTTGAGTTTAAAACCGTTTACAAAAATCAAGTACCAATTCTAAATAAAAAACTATGTTTTATATCAGTATAGAAGACAAAATAAATCAAAGAGAAGTGGGAAATGGGGCTTTTCATTTTGATACAAACAATATGGGTTTGTACTTTATCGATTTTGAACTCTCCTTTTATTAGTTTTATTTAATCTAAGTTCCTAGCAAAAGCTTTAATACATTTATTCAAACAAGTTTTCGCTCATTAATCAGATCCAAGTAAATTGACCGAATAGTCAATTTAATTATTAATCGGTACATCTCTATTCTCGATATCCAAAGCATTCCTGGATTTATTAATTGGATACTTGAGCATTCTGCTCGACCATATTTGAATTAATTTTAATAAACGTACATCGTATATAATTTGTTTATGATGAAAGCCGATAATTAAATCGGTTTAAGTCATATATTAATTAAATAGTAGTTAAATATCGTAAGACCACAAAATTTACTATTAATTAACTTATCGAGGTTTTGATAATCTTCTTTTTGTTAAATAATTTGATACAACAAACAGGTCAACAGTTGTTGAAATAGTTTAATTCCTATTTTCTTCCGAATTGCATCCTAATTTTCACTACATTTTGTTAAGGGAACCTTATTAAATTTACTATTAATAAGTTGATCGTGAATGAAAAATATAAAGGAGCCAATGTTTCATATTCACTCTGCGCATGTCGCACAATTCTGCCAATGTCAAGTATATAAATTAATATTTACATGTAAAATTAAAATAAAATGAATGAAAGACCGAGCAAAGAGTAAAAGTGTATATTAGAGAACTGGACGAGCTCAGATTTTTTTTATTGATTTATCTTTTTCCCCAAAATTCAAAATTGACATATTTTATTATTGTTTCTTTGCGTGTAAAGACCACAAACGTAACATTGGCGGAATTGTGCAATCGCAAGTAGGCCATGAATTAAAAAAGAAGAAGAGCATTTTGAAAACATCCGTCAATGTGTTACTTTTAACCAAAGAATAAAGTATATATCTTGTAATACAAACCAAAGAGAATTTAAACACTACGTGATACAAAATACAAACCAAAATAAAATATACACAATTACAATCTATGATAAGGAAACTTTTAATATGGATAAAACTTCGGAAAAGCTATTTACATTTGGACATAATTATGCATACCATAGATATATAAATCTATGTGGCGTACAAAGTGGACTAACGAACGGGCTACAAGCGAAATCAAATAGGCTTCGTTAATATATCCATAGGTATAATTATCGATACATAAGACACAAGGGATAAGTTGATCGTTCAGTATTTACATGCCGTCAAGCTCAAGCATATGTAGCACGTTCAACATCAGCCTTTTTACGTCCCCACTGCAGGGGCTTAGGCCTTCCTTATGGATGGTTAAGGAGGATGGGCCATGACCCTCCACGCTGGCCCAATGCGGATTGGAGGGTATTAACGACTGCAAATGCAGCCGGGACCAACGGCTTAACGTGCCTTCCGAAGCACGGAGTAGCTAGAGATAATAATTTTTAGGTCACCCATCCCGTGACCGACCCTTGCGAAAGTTGCTTAACGACTACGATCGCGGGCCGCGGCGCTTATCCACTACGCCACCGAGCTACTCACGTAGTACGTTCAAGAACGACATATCTAAACTGTTTATATAAATCTCCACTTTGGTTGTATTCTAAATATAATAGACTTATTGTAGATGCACCGATGCATTTATCATATGTTAACGAAAACCAATACATTAACGTCATTTCAAAAAGGCCACAGAAACAAAGAACGAGTTATCTTTAATACCCGTAACTGACGCTTAAGATATAAATAAATATAACCAGAAAAGAAAAAAAAAGAGAATTACCTACAAAAAGAAATAAGATCTCATCAAAAACAACATGTACAAAAATGCACAAGTCTCACAACGAAATTCTTCTGCCATAAAAAGTTATGAAATCAACGTAACCAAGTCGATTAGTTCAGTACTTATCTTTCTGCGTGTACGTTTGTTAACTATTCCTAAGTCTTGGACAAGTTTGGATAGTTGCTGTATATATTGACTTTGTTTACGTTAATTTAATAACTTTTTATGGCAGAAGAACAGAGTATTTTTGGTAATTTCGTGGAAAAATCCAAAAACATATAATTGATATAGTTTAGCTGAAAATTTTAGTTTCAGTTCATAAAATAAAGAAATCAATTTTTAAAATTCATATCAGTTTTAAAATCTTTAGCCTGTGGATTTTTATGCGAATCAGTAGTCGCCATGATATCACGTCAGTCGGTTTGTGAAGTAACAAGAAAAATAAGTTTCAAATATGATAAATTCGTCTAGAGGTTATTTTTTTAAATATTCTAATGATGTAATAAAGAAAAAAATAATGTTTATTAAAATAATAACCTTGTAATAGACTTTTGTATAGAAAGATCGCACAAAATTATCGCACTTATCGTCGGAAATATTTTTACTGCAAATCTCTATTTTTCTTCTTCTGTATTACGGAATGTTAAAACATTGATGTAAGTACTTCTTACAACTATTTGGATGTGATAAATAGTACATAATAATGTAAGTGACGTACTTACGTATGTAAGTAATATATGTAACCAATACCAACGAGTTTGCTTATAAAACTAAATGACGTCACAACTACAGAGCAACATGGTGTCCAGCATTTTCATTCAATTCGCGCGAAATTTGAAAACTGTGAAATTTTGATGTAATTAAAAAAAAATACAAAATTATCATTCATTACTAATGAATGAAAATTTTGTATTTTTTTAATGCTTTATTAGGACATTAGGATGGAATTGAGATTTTTTTCAAAGATGAATAAAATACCTCATAGCGATGTGAGATTTGTGTATTTTTGTACATGTTATGTAAATGATGGAATTTTCTATTTTGTTTTTCCGATAAGTAATTAAAAAAGAAGGAAATTATATTGACGTTCCTATTTTCGTTGTTACATATATTCGTCTTTACTAATATTATAAAGAGAAAATATTTGATTGTTTTAAATAGGCTACGAAACTAATGGACTGGATTAAAAAAAAATACAGGAAGGTACATCCTATACGGATGACATAGGTTATAATTTACACAGGTAGTAACATTTAAATATCGAAGTTCCTTCAGAAAATGTATATGTAAATGTATATGTAAATAATCAGAAAATGTATGCTGCACATGAACAAAAATGTTACATCACTAATACACCTGCTCAGAAATAAATTAAATTTGGTGTTTAATCAGCTCCTCGAATACCTTTGAAGTTCACTTTGGTAATGGAAATAAAACTTTAGGTTTACATTAACTAAGTTATGACATGGAATTGTACCAAAATTGTACTTTAACTGCAGAACGATAGTTTGAAACTGGCACAGATTCCCTAAGACAAGTCACACAGTTAAATACATAAAGAGCTGGAAAATATATCAATGCAACCAGGACACCGCATGAATTATACATGTTTGCACTGATAACGGACTCGGCACTTAAGCAAACTGTGTACTTACCTTAAGTTGCGGGCTGCGTCGTCTGCTAACATGGTAACTAGTATAACAATGTTGTGTTGCGTATGTGTCATATGTACACATCTAACAGCCAATATATATATAATATTTACATTTATTTAGTGTAAGCTAAACGTGTAGCAAACATACCAAGCTTTCAAAAGCAATATACCAATTTATTGTGTTGTTATATATATATATATATATCTTACATAAATAAAATTAATATAAATGTATTGCTGTTGTTACATGCAAAACTAGGAACATTGGTAGAGCAATTGGACTCTATTTGTAATATTTGATAAAATCGGAGAAAAGCGATTAATCGAAATTGTTTAACAAGGCCTTAGTTTATTTAATGTCATAATCTAGGAATAAGGCTATTCTTCCTCATACAAACTGAGCGTAATGATACTCTCTTGAATTTATGTATGTAAATTATTTCAGTAGAACTAAACCAAATTAAATAAAGCTTTTTCTCGGTTATCTGTACAAGGTTTGTATTAAAGTTAATAAAAAAATGCACAGAAAGATATATTGTATTTTTTTAGGTAAACCACTCGTACGAATTCGAAGAGGAAAGCTTGTAGCTATATAATAAAAGCATATATGTAATGTGAACGTAAAAAAAGAACGTCAACTAACTAGAGACTAGAGAAACTGAAACTTATTAATATGTATTATATTTTGTTTGAGTTTCCAGATACATTGTGTATATTTACTTAAGAACCATGTAAACGACAACAAAATAATCGATGACATTTGTTGCCTAGGTATAATAATATTTTAGATAATAGACTTTAGACATTTATTAGCGGAGTGTAAGCAAATTTAGGGATTCGATTTATAGCTCTATATAAAATATATATATACATTACACGGATATAAAATACAAAACTCAATTATACTGTATAAACATATATAATTTTAAAACAAAAATATGAAATGGGATCTTACGCCTCACAAATAGTGATATGTTTTAAAATTTCCAATTTTGAATTAGCAGAAAACCCATTAGTCAGCTTTATTATTCGATTCTTTGTGATAAACTCTAACGGTACAAGTGATTATCTTTGATATTGCTTGCTATCTCCGACTCCCATCGGTCACCGTTGGTTAGTAGTTTTTCTTTGTTGTACAAAAGTTCCTCCCTAGTTTCCGTGCAATACTCAAAATTTGGGCCCTCCACAATAGCATCTACTGGGCAAGCTTCTTGACAATATCCGCAATATATGCACTTTGTCATGTCTATGTCATACCTGGTGGCGCGACGGGAACCATCACATCGCTCTTCGGCGTCTATGGTAATAGCTAACGCTGGACAAATAGCCTCACAGAGCTTACAAGCGATGCATCTTTCTTCTCCTGATGGGTATCTCCTTAATGCATGTTCACCTCTAAAACGCGGTGAGAGAGGGCCTTTCTCGAACGGATAATTTATAGTCGCTGGCTCTTTAAATATGTGAGCTAGTGTTACCGCAAATCCTAAAAATAGTTTGGTGTTATTAGAACAAAAATTATTTGATTGCAATTGTGATTTCTGAAAAATTTACCAGTAGGTAAATAAATACAGAGGAGCTCGATGGCACAGTGGTTAGCGAGCTTGACCTGCGATACGGCTGTTAAGCAATATTCGCTTATAACAATAATAATATAATGTTTAGCAATAGTCGTAGGATGGGTGGTCAAAAATGTTATATCTTGAGCTCCTCAATGCTTCGGAAAGCACGTTAAGCCGTTGGTTTCAGCTGTATCTTTAACACTTAGCGATACCAATGGCCTATTTTCCATATATAGAAAAAGCCTGAGTCCCAGCTATCGGGATATTAGTATGGTGATGACATGATGACCAGTATATTGAAAATATAATAAAATTACTAAAATACATTGGCACTTGATGCCAAATCATATAAACCGTTACTCAACTACGTAATTGCAATTAGTACTTATTGTTTAAAACGATTAACGAACAAGTCCATGAAATAGTAATTAAGCAGTCAGTCTTTTACGACATGCAGACGTCGCACATGTTTTATGATAAAGATTTAGTTAAGGACTCCTAAGGATGTTACTCCATTGAATGAAGTGAGGCAGCGTCTGTTTTCCTCACTTTTTCCAATGGATAATGACTGGCCGTAGTAGTTGCAGATTATGTTGAAAATCTTACTTCGCGTCTTCTTCAAACTAAAGATCATTGAAAAAAGTTATGCTCCACTTTTCACTATATATTATTAATACGACTTCATTTCTTTTCAGAAACACTGTCCATTGGTCGTAAAAGACATGTAAGTAAAAAAAATTGACTGGCTAATTAAACACTAATGTGCTCCGATCCGCTTCATTGTAACGAGCTTTACGCTGCTCTATTCAAAATAATTCTAAGTTTATGTAACGTCCCGTAACAAGATGAACATTATATTATTCTAAAAATAGGTGCCATATCTATTTTGAATCTATAGCTGATGGCTAGTACGGGATGCGGGTGATTTCTGTATCCCACTTTTATTGGTCGGTCGGTCATTTGACCAATGACACAAGCGCGCAGAGACCGCTTGCACTACGCATGCTGACCCCTTCGACCAGTGTAAATGCTCCTTTAAACACTATATGTCGTACTATGAGAAAATGTTAAAGAATAATAATAATAATATTAAGAATTTAGTTATGGAATACAGGTTTTCTTTAAAGAGAGAAAATACAAATAATAAGATTTTTTTATAGAAAAATTCCTGAACAACGTAAGATGTTTAGAAAAACATTAATATTCTATAATAGTAATTTAGATCAAAATAATCATAGTCATAATATGAAGTCATCACATAATACTAGAGATACAAATGACAATTTTTATATGAGGAGTAATAGACAAAATGTTTTATGTCGTATTCTTTTCAGAAAAGTTTTCTTAAACGATAGGCTACATTTTTTAAATTGCCCTAAGATAAAGATGGACCTCAATAAGGTTAGGTTTAATATGGACAAATATAAGGACAGATTTCCATATCAGATAATATGACCGATTAGTAACAAAAATTTTATAATAAGAAAGTTAGGAAGTTATAGGATAAAGGTAGTTCATTCTAATAGAATTAAACTCTTTCGTTGTTGTCGTTAATGTATTATCATTCTTATTATAATAATTCTTATTTATTATTATAAGTTAGTTGAATAGATTATTTTTAGAGTCATTATTTTTAGAGAATTTCTAAGTTCTCTAAGTCATATAATGACAATGTTAAAGTTGTTATTTTAATTTCTTCTCTTTTATTTAGGAACAATGACAGGTTCCTTGTTCAAGTTTAGTGTGATAGTGAGCTAATTTCAAATAGTAATATTAATCCAATATGTGTTTAACATATATTGTCATGTGAAATATTTGTGTTTCATATTGTTTATTTATTGTAAAATTTCCAAGGTGGTTTGTTAATATTGTTTAATTGTTTCATGTTCCTACTTCATCTGCCGGATTCCCGTAAGAGCATGATGAAGCTGACGCGTATCCTGACGTCAGCAATACGGAGGGCCTACTATGAATCATCTCTGTTGATAATTCGACAAACACCCACTTCATATGCGCGTCGTCATTATTATTGTATCGCTAAAAAAAGAAAATATAATGTATTTTTCAGCTAAGGTATTTATTACGTTCAACTGCGACCAGCGCGAAAATAAAGCCAGTACCGTGTATGCTTTTTAAATGTTATCTAATTAACAGCAAATAATTACTTCCTATTTTAATAATTACTTACTTTTACCATAATTTGAAATTAATTAGTTACTAATCATTACCTTTGACTTTGCCTACCTGAATTAAAAGTGTTGTAGTTAAGTATCTTGTTATTTGATAATACGAGCAAGCAGACGATACTTATGCATGTATAAGATAATTATATCGTCTATCGGTTGCTTAACCACCTTATCCATAATAATGACAAATTATTTATAACTATTTTGGGTACGGTTACATTTATCACATACGTACCTCTAAAAATTTCTGTCCAAAACACCACTTGCGATGCTCGGTCGAAAAAATCCCGCACGGTGGTACCGGGAGGTTTATCGTTAATGTACACAAAGTTTACGTCATATTTGGTTCTTGGATAGCAAAAGTGTGGTGGCTGCGGAGGGGGGGGACAAGGCGGTGGACATGGTTGGCACGGGGGGCAAGGTGGACAGGGAGTGTATGGCGGACACTCAGGAGCACAAGGATTGCAGAAATCACGTCCAGATACCAAAACAATATGGTTCACCTTTAACCATGGTCTTTGAACTTTAGCTAATAACATTCCGTTTTCACAGGTCAATTAGAACTTTTAATATTATACAAATATATTATCTATATGTTATTATTAGATAACGTTTTATTTTGTTAACAACTAAGAGTAAGTTGTCAGTAAATTGACAATTAGCACAGGCAATGACCAAAGAGTAAATAGAATAATCCAAAAATAAATCTATGGTTCCAAACATAAAAACAAAACGGTAAATATATACATACATTACTAAAAACCTCCTGAATATATTTAATACCTATGGTAAGTATCTATTATATGTGCTACTTGCTAGTAAATTTATACATTACTTGAGTATTTATCACACAATATAGTAGGTAATTCTTATAATTTTCTATCGTAATGTTTAAATTCTCTCTGGTGAATACCATTATTGTAGTTGTAGTGACTCTATACCTATTAGCTATGGTAAATACCCTACTTCTTTAATTTTGCAGGTGGTTGTTTTTCAAATGATAATTGTTCTTGTTGTAAAATTAAATCTTTATATAATATCAATCTTAATATTAAATAATCAATGATTACAATAAAACAAATCCAACAAGAATACATAAATTTTATATATAATTAAACGAGTGTTTTGCTTAAAACATAGGTTTACTATGTTTAAACCTTATATTTATTCATTTATATTATATGTTTCGGTTTGATTTAGGTATATAAAATATAATAATTCTATAGATTTATAACATAATCATTTGTCTATCTTAAATCTAAGGTAGAGGCTTAATATGAAAATCTTATTGTTCATATGCAACATACAGTAGTACTTTTTCTCTCTAACTAGGCGGTCAGCATATCCAAATTATCCAATACCTTTGTAGAAATTGAGCATTATTCTTTAAGTTCGGTTTTAATTTTGTCATAAAAAGTAGAATGACAAGGTGCATATTGCACCCACGCTCTGAAAACCTTTTAGTTGACACTACAAAATAGGCTTTACCAGTAGATGCAGCTTGAAATTTCCTGTTAAATGGTGCATTTAACTCTTTTTTCTTAATAAGATTTTTTTTTGTGTTAATAGGATTTAACAGGATATTTTCAGAACTAAAAAAATGACACATCGTCCTTGATATATTGGATATCAAAATGGTCACTGTTTATAAAAAAACAAGGTCCGTTCTATAAGAATGTCACCGACTGTTTTTATCCATGACCCACATCGAGTAGCAATGTAGTGATATACTCTCTGTACCACAGAAATTCGTGAGCAAAGAAATACATACACCAACCGTCTAGTCGATATTATGAGTATAAATAAACACGTAGAAATACTAAGATTTATATGGCGAAACATTTTTGTTACTGATACGAGAAAGAATTCGCAAAAAGCTAACGTAATAAAGCATAGATGTGGATATGGGAAGAAATGTTTTATTCTATTTGAAGAGACGAAGAATATAATATTACTAGCTTTCGCCAGTGGCTTCACCCGCGTGGTACTTAGGGAAATGTTTAGTGGGATAAAAATTTGCCTATTATGTAAGTCAGCTAATACCCTATTTGTATACCAAATTTAATCAAAACAAAGAAACTCAAATTTATAATATTAAAATAATTTATAATAATTATGTTTGATGACTTTTGCATTCACAATGCTATTCTGAAAAATATAAATGAAAAATGTTTAAAAAAATCCACTTCGTCCCTGGTACTCTGTATTGGAACTCGGACCCATGAGCTGTTGTAGTACCAAAAAAGTAGCAAGTACTTGAAAAATTCGTAAGCATTTTTCATTATGAACATAACAAACAAGATATTATAAAATATATTAATTTGTAAAAACAATAAAAAGTTCTAACAACTATAACTATGTTCACGGCTAAAGGTGACAAGGTGACCAGAGCGCTTAGTATAAGTTTTTTTGACGTTTACGTTCACTTACAATCGCGAGCGCGTTAAGATTTTAATATTGAATCCGGTATAGCGCCCCTAGCGGTAACTACCAAGTACTACAAATCTCTATACAAATTCTTAACGCGCTCACTAGTGCACGCGTTAGCGTAAAACTTACACTTACCTCTCAGAACGCTTAGTGTAAGTTTTTTTGACGTTTACGTTCACTGTCGATCGGGAGCGCGTTAAGATTTTAGTATGGAATCCGGTACAGCCCCTAGCGGTAACTACCAAGAAATACAAATCTCCATACAAACTCTTAACGCTCTCACTAGTGAACGCGTTAGCGTAAAACTTACACTTACCACTCAGAGTACATGAGTGATGACAATAAGATTCTCAATAGGTGTCTACATTCCAATTTCAATTTGCGTTGCCTTTTGTAAAAAACAACGTTACGACACCACGAGAAGTTTTATTACTACCTATAAAATATCCTTGGCGACGCGAAACAACAGTATGTCGCACATTTTCTTTTTTTTTTTCAAAATGTGAATATAAGCAGTCTTGCGAAGACAGAAGGCCAAAAATTTCTCATCTTTAAGCATCATGCTCCCGACATATCTCTGTTATTCCTATGATTTGTGGCGTGACGGCGTGTGTACATATGTCGCAGACAATGTATTATACTATAACATACCAGTAAAATAGAAAAGTACGATATAGTTTATCTTTATATAAGATATGCTAACGGATATTTAGATATAACATTTTTGATGAGATTATGAATTTATTGTAAGAGATTTTTTTGTGTGTAACACACTTAATTTTTTAAATTATGATTATCTAATGCAGTTTTGGACTGTAAATTTTAAACCACAGGTAAATAGACAACCAAAAATTAGTCGTAAGCTTTCAAAATATTTAAAAAAATATTTATTTTACTCACCAGTCATTTCGTATAATAACCTAGTTACTTTAAGTGTCTGCAGCGTACATGTATATAACGTAAGCGGAGCGTTGTCACGTGCCCTCTGTAGTCGTTAGCTGGTCGTTATGCTAATGGCCGCCGTGGAAACGCACCCCATCACCCGGTCCTCCGTGAATCAATCGATTTGCAAATTATATATCCTTCATTATAAGTGACATTTTATTAACCCTCTGCGATTATTTTGCGGCAAAAGATTGTCGTTTTTAATTTTCAATGGCAAAATTTTTTATTTCCTCTGTAAAAGTAGCGTATGCATTTGTTTGGTACCATTTAAAAACTTATAAGCTATGATAAAAGGAAGGATAAACAGACACGAAAGTAATCCGATAATGGATCCATTTTTCGTTTTGTGTTATATACAGGCTCACTGCGCAGAATGATGTGTATTCATAATATTAAATAAAAAAATCCAAGAATGCTCTTTTTAGTTGCAACACTGCGATAACAAAGGAAATTTAAAACATATTTTATCAATAGCATTACGCTCTCGAGTAAATGAATAATTCAAGTGCTCGACCTCTGTGGACGATTGGCTAGCACATCAGTTTCAATGCGATGCCATCACTGAAAACTCGACGATACCCGGTCGGGTTAATGCAGAAAATAGGTTTTCGATATTTTCTCTTATCTTAATGTTGTGTTGTTGTGTAAAAATATTTATTTAAAATATAATTTTTTTTAAATTTTATTTATAATTTTATTTTTAAGACAAATTTATAAAAGGACGATGTTAACAATTTTACGGTGTAATATTTTCATTAGTTTATCTATCGTCACAAATAACGTTTTTTAATAAAATATTTATAAAGTTTTAAACGTATTAACAGTCCAATTATTAAAAAAAAAAATGTAGCCTAACTTTTCTACAAGTTAAATCCAACAGCCGTTTAGTTATTGTCACTTTGTTTTTGAAACGTTTAATCCTCGTTGAAACTTTGAAAAAATCGTTGCTAACTTTACGAATAAATATTTTTTGATTGCATAATCTTTTTTCAGGAAGTGTGTGAATATATTAAAAATATTTTAAACGATTACAACTTCATCTTAATAATATAATTAATCAAACATTTTGGTTATTTCTATTATGTAATAGCTATGTTTATTTAAAATTCTATATTTTATCATATATTTATTTAGTCAATCTCAATATACTTCTCAAACAAAAACCGAATTAAAAAGTTTAAAATAAACATTTCAGAAGCGATTGTGTTATTTAAAAATATTAGTTGATTTTACTTTAATAATATAAAGCTATTATTTAAAAGAATAAACATATTAATGCCATAAACCTTAGCAATAGTCTTCAAACAAATACTCGTCACTTATACTTTTTTTCATATATTAATATAAGAAAACTAAAAACGCCATAAAACGTAGGTACAAAACAAAAAAAATGTACGACTTGCGTCCTAGAATCATGGCCCTTTTATGTAATATAGGGTAAATACGACCCTAAATTAATACATTATTAATCATAAAATAATATTCCTGTGTACCTTCGCGGTATATGGGTCGGTCTAAGTCCATTGAACAACGGCGAGGTTCAAACATAAACAAATGGCCTACAGCATGAGACTCACCTCTCAAGAATAAATAAGTTTGCTAATGTATTATATTATAACAGAGCTCAACGATAGGTCGTGTAGTCATATATACATATATTGATCTACTATATACGAGGGTCAAACTGAAAGTTCTTAGAAAATCAAAAACTGATTACATTAGCCAGTTATTAGTTTTATTATATCTTTTCAAAATATTGTCCATTCACGTCAATACACCGCTGCATGCGATGGAACCACTGGGAAAAGCACTTTGCCCACTCGTCCTTAGGGGTCTCTTCAATGGCATCGCGATACGCAGCCACCGCTTCTGCAGCATTCATAAACCGCTTTCCTTTAAGTTTTTCTTTAATTTTTGGAAATAAATAAAAATCACAAGGCGCGAGGTCGGGGCTATACGGCGTGTGACCCAGTAATTCAACGTTTGATGTCGCCAAATAGTCGATCGTTCGCTTGGCGGTGTGCGACGAGGCGTTGTCGTGGTGAAGGAGGATCCTACTGCGAGGTCGTTTCTCTCGAACTTTTTCCAAGACAAGTGGCAAACAATTGGTAGTGTACCATTCTGCAGAAACTGTTTTTTGATCCTCTAACACAATTGTTGCAAA